CAAGACACCACAAGACACCACAAGACACCCACAAGACAAGACACCACAAGACACCACAAGACACCCACAAGACAAGACACCACAAGACAAGACACTCACAAGATAAGACACTCACAAGACACCCACAAGACACCACAAGACACCCACAAGACACCACAAGACACCCACAAGACACCACAAGACGCCCACAAGACAAGACACCACAAGACAAGACACCACAAGACACCACAAGACACCACAAGACACTCACAAGACACCACAAGACACCACAAGACACCACAAGACACTCACAAGACACCACAAGACACCACAAGACACCACAAGACACTCACAAGACACCACAAGACACCACAAGACACCCACAAGACACCACAAGACACCACAAGACACCCACAAGACACCACAAGACACCACAAGACACCCACAAGACACCCACAAGACAAGACACCACAAGACAAGACACCACAAGACAAGACACCACAAGACAAGACACCACAAGACACCCACAAGACACCACAAGACACCACAAGACACCCACAAGACAAGACACCACAAGACAAGACACCACAAGACACCCACAAGACACCCACAAGACACCACAAGACACCCACAAGACACCCACAAGACACCACAAGACACCCACAAGACAAGACACCACAAGACACCACAAGACACCCACAAGACAAGACACCACAAGACACCACAAGACACCACAAGACAAGACACCACAAGACACCCACAAGACACCACAAGACACCCACAAGACAAGACACCCACAAGACAAGACACCCACAAGACACCCACAAGACACCCACAAGACACCACAAGACACCACAAGACACCCACAAGACAAGACACCCACAAGACAAGACACTCACAAGACAAGACACCCACAAGACAAGACACCCACAAGACACCCACAAGACACCACAAGACACCCACAAGACACCCACAAGACACCCACAAGACACCCACAAGACACCCACAAGACACCCACAAGACACCACAAGACACCCACAAGACACCCACAAGACAAGACACCCACAAGACACCCACAAGACACCCACAAGACAAGACACCACAAGACACCCACAAGACACCACAAGACACCACAAGACACCCACAAGACACCACAAGACACCCACAAGACACCCACAAGACACCCACAAGACACCACAAGACACCCACAAGACACCCACAAGACACCCACAAGACACCCACAAGACACCCACAAGACACCACAAGACACCCACAAGACACCACAAGACACCCACAAGACAAGACACTCACAAGACAAGACACCACAAGACACCCACAAGACACCACAAGACACCACAAGACACCACAAGACAAGACACCCACAAGACAAGACACTCACAAGACAAGACACCACAAGACAAGACACTCACAAGACAAGACACCCACAAGACAAGACACCACAAGACAAGACACCCACAAGACAAGACACCCACAAGACAAGACACCCACAAGACAAGACACCCACAAGACAAGACACCCACAAGACAAGACACTCACAAGACAAGACACCCACAAGACACCACAAGACACCCACAAGACAAGACACCCACAAGACAAGACACCCACAAGACAAGACACCCACAAGACAAGACACCCACAAGACAAGACACCCACAAGACAAGACACCCACAAGACACCACAAGACACCCACAAGACAAGACACCCACAAGACAAGACACCCACAAGACAAGACACCCACAAGACACCACAAGACACCACAAGACACCCACAAGACAAGACACCCACAAGACAAGACACCCACAAGACAAGACACCCACAAGACAAGACACCCACAAGACAAGACACCCACAAGACAAGACACCCACAAGACAAGACACCACAAGACAAGACACCCACAAGACAAGACACCACACAAGACAACAAGACACCACACAGACAAGACACCCACAAGACAAGACACCCACAAGACAAGACACCCACAAGACAAGACACCCACAAGACAAGACACCCACAAGACAAGACACCCACAAGACAAGACACCACAAGACAAGACACCCACAAGACAAGACACCACAAGACAAGACACCCACAAGACACCACAAGACACCCACAAGACAAGACACCCACAAGACAAGACACCCACAAGACAAGACACCACAAGACACCACAAGACACCCACAAGACAAGACACCCACAAGACAAGACACCCACAAGACAAGACACCACAAGACACCCACAAGACAAGACACCCACAAGACAAGACACCCACAAGACAAGACACCACAAGACACCCACAAGACAAGACAAGACAAGACACCCACAAGACAAGACACCCACAAGACAAGACACTCACAAGACAAGACACCCACAAGACACAAGACACAAAGACAAGACACCCACAAGACAAGACACCCACAAGACAAGACACCCACAAGACACCCACAAGACAAGACACCCACAAGACAAGACACCCACAAGACAAGACACCCACAAGACAAGACACCCACAAGACAAGACACCCACAAGACAAGACACCCACAAGACAAGACACCACAAGACAAGACACCCACAAGACAAGACACCCACAAGACAAGACACCCACAAGACAAGACACCCACAAGACAAGACACCCACAAGACAAGACACCCACAAGACAAGACACCCACAAGACAAGACACCCACAAGACAAGACACCCACAAGACAAGACACCCACAAGACAAGACACCCACAAGACAAGACACCCACAAGACAAGACACCCACAAGACAAGACACCACAAGACAAGACACCCACAAGACAAGACACCCACAAGACAAGACACCACAAGACACCACAAGACAAGACACCCACAAGACACCACACAAGACCCACAAGACAAGACACCCACAAGACACCCACAAGACACCCACAAGACACCCACAAGACACCACACACCACAAGACAAGACACCACAAGACAAGACACCCACAAGACACCACAAGACACCCACAAGACACCCACAAGACACCACAAGACACCCACAAGACACCACAAGACACCCACAAGACACCACAAGACACCCACAAGACACCACAAGACACCACAAGACACCCACAAGACACCACAAGACACCACAAGACACCCACAAGACACCCACAAGACACCACAAGACACCACAAGACACCACAAGACACCCACAAGACACCCACAAGACAAGACACCCACAAGACACCACAAGACACCCACAAGACAAGACACCACAAGACAAGACACCCACAAGACAAGACACCACAAGACAAGACACCACAAGACACCCACAAGACACCACAAGACACCCACAAGACACCCACAAGACAAGACACCACAAGACAAGACACCACAAGACACCACAAGACACCCACAAGACACCCACAAGACACCACAAGACAAGACACCCACAAGACACCCACAAGACAAGACACCCACAAGACAAGACACCCACAAGACAAGACACCACAAGACAAGACACCACAAGACAAGACACCCACAAGACAAGACACCCTAAATGGTGCCCAACCACTTATGAACGGTCGGGTATTGAACGGCGACCTGCATGAAGCGAGACCGTCGCTCTACCGTCCAGCCCAAGTGGTTGGTCTCATGCAGAATGAGATAAGGAGGAAGGGGGCAGTGGTGGAGTCTGCAGCCTCCACCACTACTCTTCCTCCTCTCTCACTCCATACGAGGTCAAGGGAGGTCAAGGGTGGGACTTACCTGATCAAAGTGGGTGGAGGTGGAGGTCGGGTGTTGGACAACCAGTAGATATAAACGTGAACATGGTGTTCACTTCGGCAAGTTGCCGACGAGTTTGGTAATTTTGTCCACGGCGTTCATGACATTATCCCGAGGTCCGGTCACTTGCACGTCCTCGTCCGGCTAGTCTTCTCCGGGGACGGTTATTTTTACTTGCCAGGAGTCTTGTAATTACTTGAGACGCTTTTGCTGCCTGCCCACTAGTACAGGCCTATTGCTGAAAGGCACGGGTACGGCCATGGTCACAACGTCTTGGTTGGAGGTGATTGGAGTAGTCTCTGGAGAACTGGTACTTTTCGTAAGTCCTACAATTACGTTGATCTTCTCCAGGGCTACTCTGATATTGGCGGAAGTGCCTGTGACCTCTACATAGTCGCCTGCTTCGCCCTTCTCCGGCACGCGTATCTTCACCCCACAAAGCCTTTGGAGCATATTCTATGTCTTGCCCTGACGGCCCACTATCAAGCGCCTGTCGCCCGTGACTGGTGCTCGCACAGTGATAACCTCTTCCGAGGTGTCGACGGAGCTCACTTGACATTACGATCCGGTGGAGCCGCCGCCATCACTGGTGGAGCCGCCGCCATCACTGGTGGAGCCGCCGCCATCATTGGTAGAGCCGCCGCCATCATTGGTAGAGCCGCCGCCATCATTGGTGGAGCCGCCGCCATCACTGGTGGAGCCGCCGCCATCACTGGTGGAGCCGCCGCCATCATTGGTAGAGCCGCCGCCATCATTGGTAGAGCCGCCGCCATCACTGGTGGAGCCGCCGCCATCACTGGTGGAGCCGCCGCCATCACTGGTGGTCAAAGAGTCGGCCATCTAGTCAACTACGGTTGTATCAGTGGGACTGTGCTGGTAAGCTACGGTGTATTGTGATTAATTGCCGACGAGTTTGGTAATTTTGTCCACGGCGTTCATGACATTATCACGAGGTCCGGTCACTTGCACGTCCTCGTCCGGCTAGTCTTCTCCGGGGACGGTTATTTTTACTTGCCAGGAGTCTTGTAATTACTTGAGACGCTTTTGCTGCCTGCCCACTAGTACAGGCCTATTGCTGAAAGGCACGGGTACGGCCATGGTCACAACGTCTTGGTTGGAGGTGATTGGGGTAGTCTCTGGAGAACTGGTACTTTTCGTAAGTCCTACAATTACGTTGATCTTCTCCAGGGCTACTCTGATATTGGCGGAAGTGCCTGTGACCTCTACATAGTCGCCTGCTTCGCCCTTCTCCGGCACGCGTATCTTCACCCCACAAAGCCTTTGGAGCATATTCTATGTCTTGCCCTGACGGCCAACTATCAAGCGCCTGTCGCCCGTGACTGGTGCTTGCACAGTTATGACCAAGTCCTCGTCGTCGCGGCAGGGCGACTCGTCGTCGCGGCAGGGCGACTCGTCGTCGCGGCAGGGCGACTCGTCGTCGCGGCAGGGCGACTCGTCGTCGCGGCAGGGCGACTCGTCGTCGCGGCAGGGCGACTCGTCGTCGCGGCAGGGCGACTCGTCGTCGCGGCAGGGCGACTCGTCGTCGCGGCAGGGCGACTCGTCGTCGCGGCAGGGCGACTCGTCGTCGCGGCAGGGCGACTCGTCGTCGCGGCAGGGCGACTCGTCGTCGCGGCAGGGCGACTCGTCGTCGCGGCAGGGCGACTCGTCGTCGCGGCAGGGCGACTCGTCGTCGCGGCAGGGCGACTCGTCGTCGCGGCAGGGCGACTCGTCGTCGCGGCAGGGCGACTCGTCGTCGCGGCAGGGCGACTCGTCGTCGCGGCAGGGCGACTCGTCGTCGCGGCAGGGCGACTCGTCGTCGCGGCAGGGCGACTCGTCGTCGCGGCAGGGCGACTCGTCGTCGCGGCAGGGCGACTCGTCGTCGCGGCAGGGCGACTCGTCGTCGCGGCAGGGCGACTCGTCGTCGCGGCAGGGCGACTCGTCGTCGCGGCAGGGCGACTCGTCGTCGCGGCAGGGCGACTCGTCGTCGCGGCAGGGCGACTCGTCGTCGCGGCAGGGCGACTCGTCGTCGCGGCAGGGCGACTCGTCGTCGCGGCAGGGCGACTCGTCGTCGCGGCAGGGCGACTCGTCGTCGCGGCAGGGCGACTCGTCGTCGCGGCAGGGCGACTCGTCGTCGCGGCAGGGCGACTCGTCGTCGCGGCAGGGCGACTCGTCGTCGCGGCAGGGCGACTCGTCGTCGCGGCAGGGCGACTCGTCGTCGCGGCAGGGCGACTCGTCGTCGCGGCAGGGCGACTCGTCGTCGCGGCAGGGCGACTCGTCGTCGCGGCAGGGCGACTCGTCGTCGCGGCAGGGCGACTCGTCGTCGCGGCAGGGCGACTCGTCGTCGCGGCAGGGCGACTCGTCGTCGCGGCAGGGCGACTCGTCGTCGCGGCAGGGCGACTCGTCGTCGCGGCAGGGCGACTCGTCGTCGCGGCAGGGCGACTCGTCGTCGCGGCAGGGCGACTCGTCGTCGCGGCAGGGCGACTCGTCGTCGCGGCAGGGCGACTCGTCGTCGCGGCAGGGCGACTCGTCGTCGCGGCAGGGCGACTCGTCGTCGCGGCAGGGCGACTCGTCGTCGCGGCAGGGCGACTCGTCGTCGCGGCAGGGCGACTCGTCGTCGCGGCAGGGCGACTCGTCGTCGCGGCAGGGCGACTCGTCGTCGCGGCAGGGCGACTCGTCGTCGCGGCAGGGCGACTCGTCGTCGCGGCAGGGCGACTCGTCGTCGCGGCAGGGCGACTCGTCGTCGCGGCAGGGCGACTCGTCGTCGCGGCAGGGCGACTCGTCGTCGCGGCAGGGCGACTCGTCGTCGCGGCAGGGCGACTCGTCGTCGCGGCAGGGCGACTCGTCGTCGCGGCAGGGCGACTCGTCGTCGCGGCAGGGCGACTCGTCGTCGCGGCAGGGCGACTCGTCGTCGCGGCAGGGCGACTCGTCGTCGCGGCAGGGCGACTCGTCGTCGCGGCAGGGCGACTCGTCGTCGCGGCAGGGCGACTCGTCGTCGCGGCAGGGCGACTCGTCGTCGCGGCAGGGCGACTCGTCGTCGCGGCAGGGCGACTCGTCGTCGCGGCAGGGCGACTCGTCGTCGCGGCAGGGCGACTCGTCGTCGCGGCAGGGCGACTCGTCGTCGCGGCAGGGCGACTCGTCGTCGCGGCAGGGCGACTCGTCGTCGCGGCAGGGCGACTCGTCGTCGCGGCAGGGCGACTCGTCGTCGCGGCAGGGCGACTCGTCGTCGCGGCAGGGCGACTCGTCGTCGCGGCAGGGCGACTCGTCGTCGCGGCAGGGCGACTCGTCGTCGCGGCAGGGCGACTCGTCGTCGCGGCAGGGCGACTCGTCGTCGCGGCAGGGCGACTCGTCGTCGCGGCAGGGCGACTCGTCGTCGCGGCAGGGCGACTCGTCGTCGCGGCAGGGCGACCCGTCGTCGCGGCAGGGCGACCCGTCGTCGCGGCAGGGCGACCCGTCGTCGCGGCAGGGCGACTCGTCGTCGCGGCAGGGCGACCCGTCGTCGCGGCAGGGCGACCCGTCGTCGCGGCAGGGCGACCCGTCGTCGCGGCAGGGCGACTCGTCGTCGCGGCAGGGCGACTCGTCGTCGCGGCAGGGCGACCCGTCGTCGCGGCAGGGCGACTCGTCGTCGCGGCAGGGCGACCCGTCGTCGCGGCAGGGCGACTCGTCGTCGCGGCAGGGCGACTCGTCGTCGCGGCAGGGCGACTCGTCGTCGCGGCAGGGCGACTCGTCGCGGCAGGGCGACTCGTCGTCGCGGCAGGGCGACTCGTCGTCGCGGCAGGGCGACTCGTCGCGGCAGGGCGACTCGTCGCGGCAGGGCGACTCATCGGGGGCGGAGCAGACGTCGGGAATGTCCTCGACACCTACAGAGGTTACAGAGGAGTCTGGCCATTGACGATAGATGAACATGATCATACCAATACTTAGAACTGGTAAGAGCGCCAGAGGCCACCAGCCTGTCATGGGAGCGCTGACAGGAATTTCTCCCACGAGTTCCAGGAAGGTCTTCAAGCCCTCCACCTTCGGGGACATCTGGTGTTATCTCATGACGGGGCCTACGAGAGGCGACCAGTTTAGCAATGGGCTCAGATTTTGATCGGCAAATAAATCCAAATCGCAGACTGGTTCAAATGTGATCAACTGAGCTCTTGCTGCCAGGCTCCTTACCAGGGCAGACAGACTAGACCGTTGCCTGCGCCAGACTACAGTCTACTCGCGCAGTAGACGGAGGTGGGTGGCCGTTTAGGCTTCCCAGCCTTACAGCCACAGGTGCGATCCCACCAAAATTACCACCAACACGACTCTGAGAACTAATCTTACTAAAGAGTTCATATTGTAAGAGGTGTTTATCTTTCGAAATCCGACTGTAATTCTCAGCAGCAGTTATGTGGTTATGTTAATATTGGGAGTGGAACTAATGTAGGAAACTTGGTATTTTGTTGTAATTAGGCTTATTTGTCTGTGTATTAGGGGTTACTTGGTACAGAATAGTTAGGTTCGCACCCCTAACTGTTGGGACTGTGTAATGTTCTCCGGCGGGTTATGGAACCTTCACTCTCAGTTACTCATGCGTCGAGAATTAGCAAGTGGTGAGTATCCTCATGACGGCCGTGTAGAGTGACGGCCGTGTAGAGTGACGGCCGTGTAGAGTGACGGCCGTGTAGAGTGACGGCCGTGTAGAGTGACGGCCGTGTAGAGTGACGGCCGTGTAGAGTGACGGCCGTGTAGAGTGACGGCCGTGTAGAGTGACGGCCGTGTAGAGTGACGGCCGTGTAGAGTGACGGCCGTGTAGAGTGACGGTCGTGTAGAGTGACGGTCGTGTAGTGATTTTTAAATTTGTTTAAATTTTGCCCCGAGGGGCGAGTTTATTGAGCAGCGTCACTCATCTTGTGAGTGGTCATAGTGACAGTATTGGGCAGCGCCACTCGTCCTGTGAGTGGACACACCGCCATAGTGACAGATAGTGGTCAAGGCGGTGTCCGTCACTCTCACCACAGATTCTGCAACTTCGCTGATCAACTGTTGTTTCCATTCCATATCTCCATGGATATTTGTATCCAAGACGGATTCTCGCTATTACTGATTCTCTCCCTCGTCCTCCTCTTCGGCCATAATGATTGGGATTGCCAGCTGCAACCATGTTGTACCATCGTACAGATTCACTGGTTTGTGCTTCTATCCTCCTTTCCTCAGTTACCTTGTCACGGTGATGTTGCCTGACAATACCTCTAATTTGTAGTAGAGTCTTGGGTATGAAGTATTCAATATGGTCTCCTTCAGCGCCTTCAGCAGCCAACACATCTGCTCGTTCATTCCCACATATTCCAACATGGGAGGGGATCCCCAACATGGGAGGGGATCCCCAACATGGGAGGGGGATCCCCAACATGGGAGGGGATCCACAACATGGGAGGGGATCCCCAACATGGGAGGGGGATCCCCAACATGGGAGGGGATCCACAACATGGGAGGGGATCCCCAACATGGGAGGGGGATCCCCAACATGGGAGGGGATCCACAACATGGGAGGGGATCCCCAACATGGGAGGGGATCCCCAACATGGGAGGGGATCCACAACATGGGAGGGGATCCCCAACATGGGAGGGGATCCACAACATGGGAGGGGATCCCCAACATGGGAGGGGATCCACAACATGGGAGGGGATCCCCAACATGGGAGGGGGATCCCCAACATGGGAGGGGATCCACAACATGGGAGGGGATCCCCAACATGGGAGGGGATCCACAACATGGGAGGGGATCCACAACATGGGAGGGGATCCACAAAAACTTGACGACTCTTCCCTGATTGGTAAGTACTCTCACAGCTCTCTTAATTTCAGCGACTATTGCAAGATTTTTTCCTCTATTTTTACTTAGGCTTTGCAGTGATGTTTTTGAATCAGTGCAAATCACTGCACCATTGTCGTGTGGAGTGACGGTCGTGTGTGTGTGTGTAGTAGTGACGGTCGTGTGTGTGTGTAGTAGTGACGGTCGTGTGTGTGTGTGTAGTAGTGACGGTCGTGTGTGTGTGTAGTAGTGACGGTCGTGTGTGTGTGTGTAGTAGTGACGGTCGTGTGTGTGTGTGTAGTAGTGACGGTCGTGTGTGTGTGTGTAGTAGTGACGGTCGTGTGTGTGTGTGTAGTAGTGACGGTCGTGTGTGTGTGTGTAGTAGTGACGGTCGTGTGTGTGTGTGTAGTAGTGACGGTCGTGTGTGTGTGTGTAGTAGTGACGGTCGTGTGTGTGTGTGTAGTAGTGACGGTCGTGTGTGTGTGTGTAGTAGTGACGGTCGTGTGTGTGTGTGTAGTAGTGACGGTCGTGTGTGTGTGTGTAGTAGTGACGGTCGTGTGTGTGTGTGTAGTAGTGACGGTCGTGTGTGTGTGTGTAGTAGTGACGGTCGTGTGTGTGTGTGTGTAGTAGTGACGGTCGTGTGTGTGTGTGTAGTAGTGACGGTCGTGTGTGTGTGTGTAGTAGTGACGGTCGTGTGTGTGTGTGTAGTAGTGACGGTCGTGTGTGTGTGTGTAGTAGTGACGGTCGTGTGTGTGTGTAGTAGTGACGGTCGTGTGTGTGTGTGTAGTAGTGACGGTCGTGTGTGTGTGTGTAGTAGTGACGGTCGTGTGTGTGTGTGTAGTAGTGACGGTCGTGTGTGTGTGTGTAGTAGTGACGGTCGTGTGTGTGTGTGTAGTAGTGACGGTCGTGTGTGTGTGACGGTCGTGTGTGTGTGTAGTGACGTAGTGTGACGGTCGTGTGTGTGTGTGTAGTAGTGACGGTCGTGTGTGTGTGTGTAGTGAGTGACGGTCGTGTAGTGTGTGTGTGTGTGTGTAGTAGTGACGGTCGTGTGTGTGTGTGTAGTAGTGACGGTCGTGTGTGTGTGTAGTAGTGACGGTCGTGTGTGTGTGTGTAGTAGTGACGGTCGTGTGTGTGTGTGTAGTAGTGACGGTCGTGTGTGTGTGTGTAGTAGTGACGGTCGTGTGTGTGTGTAGTAGTGACGGTCGTGTGTGTGTGTGTAGTAGTGACGGTCGTGTGTGTGTGTGTAGTAGTGACGGTCGTGTGTGTGTGTAGTAGTGACGGTCGTGTGTGTGTGTGTAGTAGTGACGGTCGTGTGTGTGTGTGTAGTAGTGACGGTCGTGTGTGTGTGTGTAGTAGTGACGGTCGTGTGTGTGTGTGTAGTAGTGACGGTCGTGTGTGTGTGTGTAGTAGTGACGGTCGTGTGTGTGTGTGTAGTAGTGACGGTCGTGTGTGTGTGTGTAGTAGTGACGGTCGTGTGTGTGTGTGTAGTAGTGACGGTCGTGTGTGTGTGTAGTAGTGACGGTCGTGTGTGTGTGTGTAGTAGTGACGGTCGTGTGTGTGTGTAGTAGTGACGGTCGTGTGTGTGTGTAGTAGTGACGGTCGTGTGTGTGTGTAGTACGGTCGTGTGTGTGTGTAGTGTGACGGTCGTGTGTGTGTAGTAGTGACGGTCGTGTGTGTGTAGTAGTGACGGTCGTGTGTGTGTAGTAGTGACGGTCGTGTGTGTGTAGTAGCGACGGTCGTGTGTGTGTAGTAGTGACGGTCGTGTGTGTGTAGTAGTGACGGTCGTGTGTGTGTAGTAGTGACGGTCGTGTGTGTAGTAGTGACGGTCGTGTGTAGTAGTGACGGTCGTGTGTGTGTGTGTACTGACGGTCGTGTGTGTGTAGTGACGGTCGTGTGTGTGTGTAGTAGTGACGGTCGTGTGTGTGTGTAGTAGTGACGGTCGTGTGTGTGTGTAGTAGTGACGGTCGTGTGTGTGTGTAGTAGTGACGGTCGTGTGTGTGTAGTAGTGACGGTCGTGTGTGTGTAGTAGCGACGGTCGTGTGTGTGTAGTAGTGACGGTCGTGTGTGTGTAGTAGTGACGGTCGTGTGTGTAGTAGTGACGGTCGTGTGTGTGTAGTAGTGACGGTCGTGTGTGTGTGTACTGACGGTCGTGTGTGTGTGTGTGTAGTAGTGACGGTCGTGTGTGTGTGTAGTAGTAGTGACGGTCGTGTGTGTGTGTGTGAGTAGTGACGGTCGTGTGTGTGTGTGTGTAGTAGTGACGGTCGTGTGTGTGTGTGTGTAGTAGTGACGGTCGTGTGTGTGTGTGTAGTAGTGACGGTCGTGTGTGTGTGTAGTAGTGACGGTCGTGTGTGTGTGTAGTAGTGACGGTCGTGTGTGTGTCGTGTGACGGTCGTGTGTGTGTGTGTAGTGACGGTCGTGTGTGTGTGTGTGTGTGTGTAGTGACGGTCGTGTGTGTGTGTGTGTGTAGTGACGGTCGTGTGTGTGTGTGTGTGTAGTGACGGTCGTGTGTGTGTAGTAGTGACGGTCGTGTGTGTAGTAGTGACGGTCGTGTGTGTGTAGTAGTGACGGTCGTGTGTGTGTAGTAGTGACGGTCGTGTGTGTGTAGTAGTGACGGTCGTGTGTGTGTGTAGTAGTGACGGTCGTGTGTGTGTGTAGTAGTGACGGTCGTGTGTGTGTAGTAGTGACGGTCGTGTGTGTGTAGTAGTGACGGTCGTGTGTGTGTAGTAGTGACGGTCGTGTGTGTGTGTAGTAGTGAGTAGTGACGGTCGTGTGTGTGTGTAGTAGTGACGGTCGTGTGTGTGTGTAGTAGTGACGGTCGTGTGTGTGTGTAGTAGTGACGGTCGTGTGTGTGTGTAGTAGTGACGGTCGTGTGTGTGTAGTAGTGACGGTCGTGTGTGTGTAGTAGTGACGGTCGTGTGTGTGTAGTAGTGACGGTCGTGTGTGTGTAGTAGTGACGGTCGTGTGTGTGTAGTAGTGACGGTCGTGTGTGTGTGTAGTAGTGACGGTCGTGTGTGTGTGTAGTAGTGACGGTCGTGTGTGTGTGTAGTAGTGACGGTCGTGTGTGTGTAGTAGTGACGGTCGTGTGTGTGTGTAGTAGTGACGGT